CGAGGCTGTGCCAAACTGTACCGGCTAATAATATGGAAGAACACGGATTTAATTGGTCCAAAACACAACAGTAGAATAGTATGCATTTGTTACACTAGAAAGATGAAATTTCAACATTGGGAGTCCTCACCCCAATGGGAGGAGCTGCTGAACATGTTTTAGTGATATGAATATATGCAGACATGGGGAGAACATGCAACGTCCACACAGAAAGGCCACAGTGAAGTGTTGGAGTGAGAAATACTGCTTCTTTTTATGCTAGAATTAGAGATTTTATTTTATTTTATAGTAGTATAGAGTTATTATTAATTTATCTTGTGCTGTGTGCTCCCCATTACTACTGTCTGTAACTTGTGATGCAACACTGAAATGTACCCACTGTGGGACCAATAAAGGATCTCTTCATCTCAATATTATAGGGTGGCTACAAAAATCATTACAACGTGATTGGGGCAAGGAACCACTAGTTAACAGTATGTGCACTGAAGTCAAACTATTCCTTCAGTTTTTTTTACCATAAAATCATTGCTTTGACCAAATGTAGGTTAAAATGTAGTGACATTTCGGTGTTGCAGCGCACAGACAGGACAGTAGTAAGAGCACACACAATATACAAAATAAGTAGTGGCTATGTTTCTTAACTAGCATAACGGTTGTAGATGCTGAAAATGCTTCAAAACCAGACAGAATAAAATGTTTCTATTTCATCTAAAATAGTTATCTTGTTGTGAAGTCGCTATCAAACTTGAGAAAGGGTGATCTATCAGACAGACTGTGAATGATGAGTTAATGTTGATAATAATTTGTAAATTAGTGCTGCATCTGCCCATCCCTGTGAGAATCACTGGTCTATGCAAATGTGGCTTCCCAAACTGCAGTAAACATTACCAGGGCACTTCTTCTCCCATGTAAGCGATATAAATATGTTAAAAACTGCAGCGTCGCTTCAGAGGACGGCCCCCTTTTGTCGCTGCTCAGTGGCACAAGCTGTGATTCTGTGTAACACTTCTCCTCCGGCCGGCTTCTCACCACACAATAGGCACATCATTAACTTTTTGCTCCATCGGATTGCCAAATACACCCCCCTTTCTCTGCTCCAAAACCACCAACGCTCCATCCCGCTTCTCTGTCCAGGCCCTAATTTGTGAAGACCAGGTGTGCAGGGACCCACAGAGGCGGGAGGGGGCGAGAGGGTGAGAAAACGGGTGCAATACAAAAGGCATGGGTGCACACAGTTCACAGGTCCCGGGGAGTGTTCGGCCGCTTATTTGCAACTTTTAATAGTCCATGATTCACCACTCTAATGGCACACATGAAAAACACAAAGCTAGATATACACCGTGACATGTATATTTCTTATGGATTCAATAATGGGCAAATATGGGTCATCTCAAAGACCTTTTCAAAGTACATCACCCTCAATTATCTGCAAATGATTCTGTCCTGATCAGGGATATACGTACATACATAATAGATATACAATATGTTTCCTTTCTCTATGGTTTGACAAACATCATTTTTGGGTCAACTTTGTAACAATCGTCTCCTGACATCATAATAACTATTGTGAACTTGTAAGAAGTGTCACCATTACACTGCGGGATGCGAGCTGATTGGCTGTTCCAGGTCGGTACCCACACACTCTAAAATGGGTGCTCCAAAGCTGTGGCAAAACAGAGGTAACCCAGCTTTAAGCTCTTTACCCCGCCCGACCCGCCTGGGAGTGCTTCAGTCCTGCACCTGTCCACGTTCAGCGTCCACTGGTCCACGTTCTGTAGCTAGCTTAGGTCCTGGATCATTAGCCTGTCCGTCCGGAGGAGCGGATCCCTTTCTCATATGGGTCTCCCTCCCTGTGGGTTTCCCTAGTTCTCCCCAAGGTTTCTCACTTTTTCCCACTGGGTTTTTTTAAGAGTTTTTCCTTGTCGATGCAGGAGGGTCTTGTTGGACAGTTAGTGTCCAACAGAAAGGATTGGTGATGATCAGGACACTTTAGCATTCTACAACATGTATGGACATTTTCTTCTGTGTGTGCTTTATATTCTTCATGTGTTTTAACTGTTGATTCTCTGACCTGTGTTGGTGATTTCAATGGTTTTGTTAAGTCTCTGAGATGATACTGTTGTGACCTAGGGCTATACAACAATACATTGTATTGTATTTACAAATAGTACTGACACTTGCTATGATAGATATTTGTACCTAGTTCCTCACTCTCAAAACATTTCACTATAGTTGTCATGTCTGTATTTTTGGCCTTATTGTTCATCCACTTTTTACAGTGAAAAGGAGAGTTGTATCCCTTAATGTTAAACAAGCCTCTTTCCTCTGGGACTGTATTTAAAACCAAGAAATAGTTTTAGAAGGTTCTTTAAAATGTCGGCATTATGTAATCCTGCATTCACTTGCTCCCTGTCAAAATGTGGACCCAACTTGGAGTGAATCACAAAACTAAGCCTGAACTAAACCAGGACTTGCACAAGAACAAACCAATCTATTCTGACCATATCTATCTGTGATACCTTTAAAACAGTCTGGTTAGCTGAGGTGTCTTTTATGTGTTTGGCATGTGGGAGTTTGTCTCTGTGAATCTGCGCTGGGGCGGTTCATACGAGTCCAAATGTGTGAAAGAGTCATTGCGCAGGAGCGAGGGGGGCCAGCCGCAGTCCGGACCAGGTTAAACAAGTTGCTCGGCCGTTTTAGCCCCTCTTTTTGTGGCCGGGGGTGGGGGGCGGGAGGAGGGTGGTCGTGGTGGACCAGGACTAATTGGCACTAATTGAATTGGAAGTGCTGATCAGATGGGAGGCTGTGGAAGTAATCGGAGTTGTCACAGCAGATAAGGTTGGGCCGTCCTGGAGTGTTCGCCTCATGTGACAGCCTGTAACATAGCCTGCGAGAGGGCACCGGACCCTTTTGTCCCGGCACAAAAGAGGGCAGAGGAGAGCAGAGGGGGGGTGGGTACAGTGAGAGCAACAGACTACAGCTGCAGCGCATGAACAACATGAAAGAGGAGCGTGGACATCAAAACACGGGCTAAATCGGACATTCGTTAAACCGATGGGAAGGCCCAGAGACTGCACTGTCAGGTTAGCATAGGTTCTGCTCAGATAGCGACTGCACTGTCAGGTTAGCATAGGTTCTGCTCAGATAGTGACTGCACTGTCAGGTTAGCATAGGTTCTGCTCAGATAGTGACTGCACCGTCAGGTTAGCATAGGTTCTGCTCAGATAGTGACTGCACTGTCAGGTTAGCATAGGTTCTGCTCAGATAGTGACTGCACTGTCAGGTTAGCATAGGTTCTGCTCAGATAGTGACTGCACCGTCAGGTTAGCATAGGTTCTGCTCAGATAGTGACTGCACCGTCAGGTTAGCATAGGTTCTGCTCAGATAGTGACTGCACCGTCAGGTTAGCATAGGTTCTGCTCAGATAGTGACTGCACTGTCAGGCTAGCATAGGTTCTGCTCAGATAGTGACTGCACTGTCAGGTTAGCATAGGTTCTGCTCAGATAGAGACTGCACTGTCAGGTTAGCATAGGTTCTGCTCAGATAGTGACTGCACTGTCAGGTTAGCATAGGTTCTGCTCAGATAGTGACTGCACCGTCAGGTTAGCATAGGTTCTGCTCAGATAGAGACTGCACTGTCAGGTTAGCATAGGTTCTGCTCAGATAGTGACTGCACTGTCAGGTTAGCATAGGTTCTGCTCAGATAGAGACTGCACTGTCAGGTTAGCATAGGTTCTGCTCAGATAGTGACTGCACTGTCAGGTTAGCATAGGTTCTGCTCAGATAGAGACTGCACTGTCAGGTTAGCATAGGTTCTGCTCAGATAGAGACTGCACTGTCAGGTTAGCATAGGTTCTGCTCAGATAGTGACTGCACCGTCAGGTTAGCATAGGTTCTGCTCAGATAGTGACTGCACCGTCAGGTTAGCATAGGTTCTGCTCAGATAGTGACTGCACCGTCAGGTTAGCATAGGTTCTGCTCAGATAGTGACTTATTGGTCAGTGCATGTACTTGTGCCGTTCCCATTTTTTCATCAACATACACTGTCTATAGTTGGACATTGCTCCTATAGATCTATGAAGCTGTAAGGATTAGATAGCTATACGGCCTACGTGCAGGACAAGCACAAGACACTACAAGGACTCTGATTGTGTATCCATGTTATGACTATTATTTGCTCTGATGTGTCTCTAAACGACACGTATGTCTTTCGATGTGTGACGTGACAATGACTATATAACTGTACTGACTCCATTTTGGTCTGAGATGAAAGAAACAGAAACCACTGGAACTTATATAGTCATTGTCACGTCACACCATGTTATATCATGGTCATAACATGGATACACAATCAGAGTCTGCGTAGTGTCTTGTGCTTGTCAGGCACTTAGGCCAAATAGCTATCTAATCCTTACAAAGCCCAGTAGGGAAATGCTCATGGGTGAAGTGTGGCTCCATTCACTAACATTCACTGAGAAGTAAACTCTGTAACCATGATTTTGGGCATAAAACCTTTTCTTTACATTTTGATTGTGTCTTTGTAAATCTACTCATGGTTCTCGCAGCTGACCATCAAGTGCCTTCTCTTCCCGAGTTTGGCTTCAGCTTGCAGCAGTAACGGACTCTCTCCTGATTGGCTCTTTGGTTGCTATAGGGTTGCTACGTATGATTTGGCTCCTTATTTCCGCTCGAAACACTCGCTTTGACGTCAGCCGAGGGGGGGGGGGGGGGGGGGGGGCGATATGACAAGGTCTTTAAGAAAGCCATGAAAAGTAACTCAAGATTTATGGTTTTCCCAATTTGGGGATTGACCAAAACAAAGCTAAAGTTAAGCCATCTGAGAACTTTTATGTTAGCTTTGCAACCCTGGGTAAGTCCATGTACTACTGTATTTATAGCACCTGTTTTACTTTCTCCTGTCCTGTGTGCGTGTTTATGTGCGTATGTGTGTATTTTTGCGCACTGTTGTGTGTAGTTCTTTGGGAACACAGGTCTGCAGATGTGTGAGTTGTCCCGCTGCGAGGATCACAGCCTCTGCATGTGGGCCCTAATGGGACGCACCCTCCAGCTGCAGCCGGGGACGGGCTTCAGCAGCAGCACCGCAGAGAGTGGACACGGGCAAAACATGAACTGTACCAAGATCCAATATTTGATTTTGTTGTGTTCATCTTCTAGAAGTCTATTTCAGTTGGAGGGAAGGTGCAGATACAACTCTATGTAAAAGCAGAACATTACATTTTGAAAAACAAAAGGCCCGTATGTTTTCTGAGATTTGATACTGGTTAAATTAACAAACCTACCAAATTATTCTTATGTCTGAAAGTCCTTTCTACAGGCCAACCAAACATGTTTACTCTACACCTTTATGAGAACATAGATCAGAGCATTTTGAAATGTACTGACAATGAAGATATGGAACTTTGTGGCAGTTTTTGTTTCATGTGGGTTGGCCTAAGAATTATAGCAAAATTAGCTCTAAACTAAGTCTAGAGGACTTTTGACACTGACCACGGTTACCAGGAAAGATTTTCAGCTGCCCTCCACCACAGTTTTAAAATGGAATATTGTGACGTCACACAACTGGCCCAGGCTCGGCTCTAGTTCAGGCCAGGGACCGAAGTGGGATTTGCTAAACATAAAGATAAGATAAGATGTGCTTTATTTATCTCACAGAGGAGAAATGTACATGTCACATTTGGCATGGATAGAACACTCAGATTGTGCAAAAGGAGGAAATGTGCAAACATGTTACATGCAGGATATATATGTACAATAAAGTGACAATAATTATGTACAACAAAGTGACAAGTGTCAATTGGAAACAGTGTCAATAGTAGTGCAGATTTTCACACAGTGTGATCATTTAAAGTGACTTATTGTACAGTCTGACAGCAGTGGGGATAAAGGCCCTGCTCCTTCCTACACTGAGGGTGTCTCAGTCTTCCACTGAAGGAGCTCCTCAGCTCCTCCTCAGTCCTGTGCAGTGGGAGGTGTTGCTCATGATGGAGGTGGCTTTGGCTAGCACCCTCCTGTCCCTCACCTCCTCCACAGAGTCCAGGGGCCTCCTGTCCCTCACCTCCTCCACAGAGTCCAGGGGCCTCCTGTCCCTCACCTCCTCCACAGAGTCCAGGGGCCTCCTGTCCCTCACCTCCTCCACAGAGTCCAGGGGCCTCCTGTCCCTCACCTCCTCCACAGAGTCCAGGGGCCTCCTGTCCAGTTTATTGTTAATGTGAACACCCAGGTACTTGAAGCTGTCCACCAGCTCAATGTCCTCCCCCTGGATGTTCAGCAGCGTGTGGGAAAGTGGTTTTCTCCTGAAGTCGATGATCATCTCCTTGGTCTTACTGGTGTTCAAGCACAAGTGGTTGCGCTCACACCAGTCGACAAAGTCCTTGATAACCGACCGATATTCCAGTTCGTTCCCCTCAGACACACAGCCCACGATGGCGGAGTCGTCGGAGAACTTCTGCAGGTGACAGCTGTGTGTGTCGTGTGTGAAGTCTGAGGTGTAGATGGTGAAGAGAAACGGTGAGAGGACAGTGCCCTGAGGGGCCCCAGTGCCCTGAGGGGCCCCAGTGCTGCAGACGACCACCTCAGACTCACAGCTGCGCAGCCGCACGTACTGTGGTCGGTCTGAGAGGTAGTTGATGGTCCATGCAGTGAGGCTACTGTCCACTCCCGCGTCCTCCATCTTCCCCCGCAGCAGTGCCGGCCTGATGGTATTGAAAGCGCTGGAGAAGTCGAAAAACATGACCCTCACAGCGCCCCCTGCGGGCTCCAGGTGGGAGAGCGTCCGCTGCAGGAAGTAGATGACGGCGTCCTCTACTCCGATGTTGGGTCTGTAGGCGAACTGCAGCGGGTCCAGGGTGGGGCTGACCACGGAGCGGAGATGGGTGAGGATGAGCCGCTCCATGGTCTTCATCAGGTGGGAGGTCAGTGCTCCATGGTCTTCATCAGGAGGTCAGTGCTCCATGGTCTTCATCAGGTGGGAGGTCAGTGCTCCATGGTCTTCATCAGGTGGGAGGTCAGTGCTCCATGGTCTTCATCAGGAGGTCAGTGCTCCATGGTCTTCATCAGGAGGTCAGTGCTCCATGGTCTTCATCAGGAGGTCAGTGCGACTGGTCTGTAGTGAGCCGGTTCCTTGGCGTGTGCTGTTTTTGGGACCGGGATCACACAGGAGGTCTTCCACAGGACAGGGACCTTCTCCAGGCTGAGGCTCAGGTTGTACATGTAGCTGAGGACCCCAGAGAGCTGGTCTGCACAGGTCCTCAGCAGCCTGGGACTGATCCCGTCCGGTCCTGCGGATTTCCTCAGCTTCAGGCGCTGGAGCTGACTCCTCACCTGGTCCGGTGTGATGGAGAGGGGGGGGGGACCGGGGTGTACTGTCCGAGGTGGGGGCTGGGGATGCGGGGGCAGGAGGGCCCGGGGGAATGTAAATGTAACCAGACATGGTTCAGCGCTCTGAGTGATCCAAATGTTTATATTGTGATATTCTCTTTGTAAATCCAGACAGGAGAGCAAACAACAGACCAATCAGGAGCCTTCTGTTGCTAAAAATTTTGGCTTGAACTAGCGAGTAGCACGAGTGGGACGGATCAGCGCCACACCAGATGGCCACTTGGCTCGGCCGTTGCTGCTGACATCACAGACATCACAGACATCGCTAACATAACATAACTAACATAACTAACACAACTAACACAACTAACACAACTAACACACCTAACACACCTAACACACCTAACATAACTAACATAACTAACATAACTAACACAACTAACACAACTAACACAACTAACACAACTAACACACCTAACACACCTAACACACCTAACATAACTAACATAACTAACACAACTTACACAACTAACACAACTAACACAACATAACTAACACAACACAACTAACACACCTAACAAACAAACTAACACTAACTAACACAACTAACACAACTAACACAACTAACACAACTAACACAACTAACACAACTAACACAAACTAACACAACTAACACAACTAACAAACTAACACAACTAACACAACTAACACAACTAACATAACTAACACAACTAACACAACTAACATAACTAACATAACTAACACAACTAACATAACTAACACAACATAACTAACATAACTAACACAACTAACACAACTAACACAACTAACACAACTAACACAACTAACATAACATAACTAACACAACTAACACAACTAACATAACATAACTAACACAACTAACACAACATAACTAACATAACTAACACAACACAACTAACACAACTAACACAACATAACTAACACAACTAACACAACTAACACAACTAACATAACATAACTAACATAACTAACACAACTAACACAACTAACATAACTAACACAACTAACATAACATAACTAACATAACTAACAACTAACACAACTAACATAACATAACTAACATAACTAACACAACTAACACAACTAACACAACTAACATAACTAACACAACTAACATAACATAACTAACATAACTAACACAACTAACACAACTAACATAACATAACTAACATAACTAACATAACTAACATAACTAACATAACTAACATAACTAACACAACTAACACAACTAACACAACTAACATAACTAACATAACTAACACAACTAACACAACATAACTAACATAACTAACACAACTAACACAACTAACACAACTAACACAACTAACACAACTAACACAACTAACATAACATAACTAACATAACTAACATAACTAACATAACTAACACAACTAACACAACTAACACAACTAACACAACTAACACAACTAACACAACTAACATAACATAACTAACATAACTAACACAACTAACACAACTAACATAACATAACTAACATAACTAACACAACTAACACAACTAACACAACTAACACAACTAACACAACTAACACAACTAACACAACTAACACAACTAACACACCTAACACAACTAACACAACTAACACAACTAACACAACTAACACAACTAACACAACTAACACACCTAACACACCTAACACAACTAACACAACTAACACAACTAACACAACTAACATAACTAACATAACTAACATAACTAACACAACTAACACAACTAACACAACTAACACAACTAACATAACTAACACAACTAACACAACTAACATAACTAACACAACTAACACAACTAACATAACTTAACTAACATAACTAACATAACTTAACTAACATAACTAACATAACTAACATAACTAACATAACTAACACAACTAACACACCTAACATAACATAACTAACATAACTAACATAACTAACATAACTAACACAACTAACACAACTAACACACCTAACATAACATAACTAACATAACTAACATAACTAACATAACTAACACAACTAACACACCTAACATAACATAACTAACACAACTAACACAACTAACACAACTAACATAACTAACACAACTAACACAACTAACACAACTAACACAACTAACACAACTAACACAACTAACATAACTAACATAACTAACATAACTAACACAACTAACATAACTTAACTAACATAACTAACATAACTAACACAACTAACACAACTAACACAACATAACTAACACAACTAACACAACATAACTAACACAACTAACACAACATAACTAACATAACTAACACAACATAACTAACATAACTAACACAACTAACACAACATAACTAACACAACTAACACACATAACATAACTAACACACATAACATAACTAACACAACTAACACAACTAACATAACTAACATAACTAACACAACTAACATAACTAACACAACATAACTAACATAACTAACATAACTAACACAACTAACACAACTAACACAACTAACATAACATAACTAACACAACTAACATAACATAACTAACACAACTAACACAACATAACTAACACAACTAACACAACTAACATAACATAACTAACATAACTAACACAACTAACACAACTAACACAACTAACACAACTAACACAACTAACATAACTAACACAACTAACATAACATAACTAACATAACTAACAACTAACACAACTAACACAACATAACTAACATAACTAACATAACATAACTAACATAACTAACACAACATAACTAACATAACTAACACAACTAACACAACACACAACTAACATAACTAACACAACTAACTAACATAACTAACATAACTAACACAACTAACACACCTAACATAACTTATTATACAGCTCCTCACAGCAGCAGGAGAACCATTGATTTGAATGTAATTTCAAAACGTTCTACCGGTCATTATTTTCTATAACGGACCTCTCAAAACAATAATGACCGCTGCCCTTTGGCAACGCACTCTCTGCTTGTATTTCAAATGCGTGGATAACTCCGCAAGTAGTTCCGGCACTCCTGAGCTAGCCACGCTCAATCAACACACTTAAATGTTAATCGGAGAATACTTATACATATACATTCTTCACACACGTGCACAGAAATTTTCAGAATTTTCTGGTCTTGTCTTCATGACAAAAATACTATTTCTCTGCGTCAAAAAGCGATCGTGAAAAACCCGGAAGTAGTTCTGGCCGCTCAATCAACGCAATGAAATGTTTATCGGAGAGTGAATTATACATATCCAGTCTTAATACAAGTGCACGGAAGTTTTCAGAATTTTCCGTTTACGTTTTCATGACAAAAACACTGATGTAATGCGAGAAAAGGCGATCCCGAAAAACCCGGAAGTAGATACGGCACATTTTAAGATACCGGCACATTTTTGGACACATTTGCAGAGGATCGATTTAGGTTAAGTTTATGTATGGGTCACTCACCGCTGATGTTCAGAATTCTTTGTTCAGTTTTCATGCAGTTCCAGAGAGTTCTAGTTTGGAAGTTGCCAGCCTAACTGTTGCTAGCATAGCCACACTGCCTGCCCGCGGTTGCCGAGCAACGGGAAAACTTTTTGGGACTACTTTATTTGTTGTCATTAAATAAACTTTTGGCATTCATAAAAGTGATCTGAAGTTTATTTTGTGTGTTAAGTTGGTACAAAGCAGTATAATAAGCGGGATAATGTATAGCATACAGGTCATTATCGGAAAATAAGTACCTTCAGGGCGGAAGCGGACCCCTCCGCTGCGCGTCGGGGTCCGCTTCGCCCTGTCGGTACTTATTTTCCGATAATGACCTGTAGGCTATACATTATCCCTTACATAACTAACACAACTAACACACCTAACATAACACAACTAACACAACTAACATAACTAACATAACTAACATAACTAACATAACTATGGGTTCTTACGACGACTCCTTTCGTCTCGAAAGAAGACGTTACATTCTGGTCTAAAAGTCGCTCTTGGCCCAATGCTGAGGGGAGTATTTTGTTTGGATCAGTCTAGTTTAGCCGCAGCAGACTTTTGAATGCGCTCGTTAAATGAATGTTGCTAACGCATGCACAAACACGTGTTTTCACATGTTCCCGGGGGAGGGGCCATTTCAAAGACGGCAGGGGAAAGTGATACAGAGTATAGTTAATGGTTTGGTTACTTTGGTCCTTTCACATTCCACAAGTCGACCAAAACTGTTAAATCTGGAACATAACGTCTCCATATGGAAACTTTGTGTTTATTGGACTCACTGAAAACTACCAATTTCAATTCACATTATTATAACTTTGTTTATAGCAGAAAATTCTGAGTGATAACCATTGTGTGCAAACATGTGTGTGCGTTACAACCAGCTCACACTTGGTTGTGTAGAAACTAGGGCCAGAATTAAAGTCCTTTTTTGATGAACAGATAATGCGTGTACATATTATCAAACATCTATCAAAAGTACTCAATGTGAAATGGCGTAAAATATGTTCAATCAGTGGTGATTTTAGAAAAGCATTTTGAATAGCTGGGCATTTTTTATATTTCCAAAAATGTGCCATTTTATCCCCTCTTCTGCGCACTATTAGTCTAAAAGAATTGTATTTATAAGCTTCAATTTATTCAAGTCGTGATATGAAAATGCATTTTGAGAAACCCCATATGAACAAAAACCCAGGAAGTTCAACAAATCTATCTTTATTGGGACAATATCCATGTTCAGTAAATTAAATCACTTTTTGCGTGGCTATTGTTGTGTACATTTTACAGCCTAAATATGAGTGTTCTTGTGTATTTGGATAGAATATAATAATATCAATGAATACATGCAAACAAATACCTTGTTCTAACTCCACACCTGTTTAAACCTCAATGTCTTTCTCAGAAGTAAAACTCATAATAAATCAAATAGTTGGACTTGATAAACATTAAAACTGATAAAATGATGTTCTGGGCATCAGTGCAAAGCCTCTCCCATGGTTCCATAATTACAGAAGAAGAAATGGAAAATATATCTGTTCAATGTTAGAACTAGATTCAAACAATCTTTTAATGAACAGATAAAAACATGTTCAAAACTAAATACTGTAATGTAGAGATGTGTGTGTCTGTGTGTGTGTGTGTCTGTGTGTGTGTGTGTGTGTGTCTGTGTGTGTGTGTGTGTGTCCGTGTGTGTGTCAGTGTCCGTGTGTGTGTCCGTGTGTGCCTGTGTGTGTGTGTGTGTGTGTCCGTGTGTGTGTCAGTGTCCGTGTGTGTGTCCGTGTGTGCCTGTGTGTGTGTGTGTGTGTGTGTCTGTGTGTCTATGTGTGCCTGTGGGTGTGTCTGTGTGTGTGTCAGTGTCCGTGTGTGCGTCTGTGTGTCCGTGTGTGTGTCTGTCCGTGTGTGTGTCTGTGTGTGTCTGTGTGTCTGCATGTGTGTATCTGTGTGTGCCTGTGTGTGTCAGTGTGTGTGTGTGTGTGTCAGTGTCTGTGTCCGTGTGTGTGTGTCTGTGTGTGCGTCTGTGTGTATGTCTGTCCGTGTGTGTGTCTGTGTGTCTGCATGTGTGTCAGTGTGTGTGTGTCCGTGTGTGTGTATGTCAGTGTCCGTGTCCGTGTGTGTGTCCGTGTGTGTGTGTTTGTGTGTGCGTCTGTGTGTCCGTGTGTGTGTCTGTGTGTCTGCATGTGTGTATCTGTGTGTGTGTGTCCGTGTGTGTGTGTCAGTGTCCGTGTCCGTGTGTGTGTCTGTGTGTGCGTCTGTGTGTGCGTCTGTGTGTGTGTCTGTCTGTCCGTGTGTGTGTCTGTGTGTGTCTGTGTGTCTGTCTGTGTGTGTGTCCGTGTGTCTGTGTGTGTGTGTGTCTGTGTGTCTGTGTGTGTGTGTCTGTCTGTCCGTGTGTCTGTGTGTGTGTGTCTGTGTGTGTCTGTGTGTGTGTCCGTGTGTCTGTGTGTCTGTGTGTGTGTGTCTGTCTGTCCGTGTGTGTGTCTGTCTGTGTCTGTGTGTGTGTCTGTGTGTCTGTGTGTGTGTGTGTGTGTGTGTGTGTGTGTGTCTGTGTGTGTGTCTGTGTGTGTGTGTGTGTCTGTGTGTGTGTCTGTGTGTGTGTCCGTGTGTCTGTGTGTGTCTGTGTGTCTGTGTGTGTAGATGTTTTTTTTGAACAACCCACTTTTCAGTAAACAAAATATAAAAGCTTCAATGGTGTTTTCTTTGTCAACAGTAAATTCAGCCAAATCGTTTGGAAACATAATGAATGGTATGTTTCCCGCACATTGTACCTCCTTTTACACCCAAATAAATACATAAATAATTAATTAATTAAATAAATAAATAAATGTAGTGAGGCCTTTGTCCCGGGACAGCGCTGACCACAGACACAAGGCTCAGAGGAAACTGACATTATGTGGGTCTGTGCCTTTTATGTCTGTTTAAGAAAATATAAACCGTTTGTGTCTGTGTTTTATGTTTGAAAGAAAGTTAGAAAAAAAGAAACGAGGCCGTGGAGGGGATGGAACCAAGAGTCTGTGTGTGCGTCTCTGTGTGTGTGTGTGTGTGTCGTGGAGGGGATGGAACCAAGAGTCTGCTTCCTCCTGTTTCAAATGAAATCTACGTCATTCACGGTTTATCCATAATTATATTTAGTATTGTATGTGTCTGCTGATAAACGCTGTTATTCAAATAATGTGTACATGAGAGTATTATTATGACGTTATGATGTTTATTGGAGAATTTTATATGATTTTTTGAGCAACAAAACATAAAATATAAAAGCATGTATAATAATGTATAGAATAACCAATACTGCTTTTAGGTTGATCGTTTTGTAAAGGTTCAGGGAGAATGGATGTAAAACAGACTTATGGTAAATTGTGGTGCGTTAACAGTAATGTTTATGAATGACACTGTCCCTGTTAAATAAATGAATAAATTAATACAAATAAAAAAGTAAATAAATCATATAAAAATAAAATAAACATGGAATAAATGGTCATAAAAATCAGATGTAAGTGTTCATTGTCCTCTGTGTTTCCCACTGACAGAGGCCTTTGTGAACTCACCGTTTCCCAGACACTTCCTCAGCCTGATGCCGACGCTGGAGCTGTGAGTCTGGGCTTCTTCCTTCAGCCGTGCCCGGTACCACCTCCATGGGTACCACCGTGTGCCATGGCGGTGTGGGCGCTCACCTCTGACATCATCACTGTGAGACCACGCCACGGCTCTTCAGGGTACGAGATGATGCAGTGTCTGGCCCAGTCTGCAGGCCTGTCCTTTATGGGCAACACAAACAAATTACTTTATTCTCCCATTGTAGGCAACAGTTCGTGAGCTGTAACGAAAAGTAACACAAAATTCAAAACAAATATTAAACAAATTCAAAACAAATATAAACTTATTGTCGTAATAAATACAGACTCTCAGCAGTAATTACATAAAAAGGCCTTGTTTTCCTGATAAAACGGTTTTGTCTGTAAATATCATCTTTTAGGAGGTCCTAAATTTTATATGAGTCAAATTACTTTACATTTTTATATGCGTTCAAAAAAACAACACAATTAATTGTACGATTAATTGCTATTAGAAAAAAAAAAAAGTTATGTATGTAAAGTTATGTACAGCCTCAATAATGTGCACTTTTAATTACATTTGTTAAATTATGAAAACATATTAAAACTTCCTATAATTGTTACTGTACTGTTATTTCAACGCAGTCAAAATAAAGCTGAAAGTTTTCTACCTCAGGCACAGTCACACTGTCTCCGCTTCAGATTAAAGAAGCTATACCCGATTTTTTTTCTAAGTAGTTCATAAAAATGCTTTTTACTACATACAAGTTGTATCATAATACATCATTTAATTGAAAACTTGAGGTAATTGATTCAGCTGTGTAAGAATTACAAGCAGTGAAAAGTGCTGAGTAGAGTCTGAGCGGGCCGCTCTTTCTCCTCCGCTCACAGAACAAGCAGTGACCAGCCTGCGTCCTCTAGCCTCTACAGCGCTGCTTAACACCAGGGCTTCGACTTCAAAATTCGAATATAAATTCTAAAATAAAAAATGATGAACAAAATAATTGAATAAAAAAATGTGAACAAATATTAGACAACCCTTGTAATTCGAAATGTATTTAATGACTGCAAATAAAATAGTTAGCTCCCAAAGGTTTCACCAGGACGTGCTAGGCAGGTAACAGCTAAGCTAGCTAGTTGTTTCATGGTAACTTCCGGGTTTTTCGCAATCGCTTTTTGTCACTTTGAAACAGTATTTTTGTTATGAAAACGTTAACAGCAAATTCTGAAATCATCCGTGCATGTGTGTTAAGGATGTATATGTGTACTGTATTGTCCGATTGACGTTTAATGGTGTTGATTGATAGATATGTAGTTGTTTATTGAGTGTGGCTAGCTCCGCTAGCTCCGTTGGCTTCTCTACACAGACGAGTGTGTAGTGACAGGTGCTGATAGCTTGTACTTGCAGAGTAATGGCAGTATTTTACACACCTGAATTACAAACAGAGGTTGCATTGGGGCTTCGGTCATTATTGGTTTGAGAGTTCTGTTATCAAGAAAAAAATATCGGAAGAATTGCTGCTGCTGCTTTGAGGAGCTCTATAACAAATTATAATTCAATATTAGAATATATTCTAAGGTTTTAAATTAATACATTCGGACGCAAAACTAGCGGTATTCTTTTACTTATATATTGTGTTAGCAGTGCGTTGCTTTAGTGCCATTTCATCAGTGATTGTTGTTGAGCTTACAAGAAGTTGCGCTAATGCTAATGTTAGCATATTTATCAGATCGCAAATAAAACTAGGTGGCTCTGTGTTATGAGAGCGTAGGGGAAATAAGAAGCCATTGAGCGAGTTGGGGGCGGTGCTAAACATTCAAACATTGCAGAAACGGGTATAGCGCCTTTAAATCAACCCAATTATTGAAAAAGCGACTCTAAATTCAATCATACTCATATTCAATGCCGTTTGCATCCTGTATTTTCGTTATTACTGTTGAATTATTCTACACAATTATTTGTATTATTCGGTGAGAAGTCGGTTTGGAAACTAACGTGAAGCAACAGGTGGCAGCACGCAGAGTTACAGCGACACCTACAGGTTGTGAAGTGTAAAACCCCGAAAACGTCAGTATTTGAGGAGCTGGGGCCAATGAGCTTGTTCTCATCACATCACTACAAATGAATATGCACCATATATTAGTTTATAATGTTATTAGCTTACATTTCAACCCAAATATGCAAGAATATCATGATTCTATAAGATTAGACAAAACAATGAATAGACAATTCTTTTGTGTAAAAACAGTTCATTTGGAGTAAAATAGCAGTATATTTTATAGATCTAAATGTACATGTATCAGTGTCTTGTGGGATACTGTTTTTTATTATTATTATGTATATTATAATAGATATTTATGGCTTACTAATAGCCTATAGAAAGGCGTTGGCACATATTACTACTGCATTTTTACTTTTATCGTATTTTGGTGCTTTTACTGTGAAATGTGAAATATAAATTAATCTATAATTACTCATTAGTATGATTGATTGGACTCAGAATGTGTGACTTTGAAACGCACGTGCAGTCTGTATTGAATAGTGTTTCCAAAGAATACGGATAAATTCTGATTATTTTATTATTCGACTGGTCAGACATGAGTTTATGAAGAACATTTAAACCAAAGGAGACTGAAATATCACGAAAAGGTTCAGTTCTAGATAAACTGTATCAATGGTAAAGATGAATGTATTTTATATCACAATGTTTTCCAAGAAACCTTTTTCTTTTTTAATTCAATTCAATTATATTTTATACAGGTGTAAATCACTTGACTAGAAACTCATAAGAATGTTAGTAAACCTAGATCATTACAGAAATTATGATTAATACACAGATAGATACAAACAGATGGTATAGTTGTCAACATACCAAATATGGCTATAGCAAAGTCTGTCAAAAATATCACAACTAGACATTGAGCCAAATTTGTGCAGTCTTGTTGTGAAATATAACATTACCTTTCTTCCTTTCTTGATGAGTCCACATGCAAAGCCAGGCAGGGTTAGTTGGTGTAAGTGAATTAAAGACTGGAGAGGAGTGGTCTGCGCTAAAGCAGGAGACAGAAGAGACCAATCTACCATCAGCCCTGTAAACCATGGATCTATAATAACACTGCAAACACACAACGCCAGGGCCCGTACAGTCGACGCAAGAACTTAACCCCAATACTAGCATTTATGTTGATCTTTGACTTGGTATTTTAAACTGTTCCTGTCAGATATGTATGTGTATAGACTTATATAAACTCAAAAAGTCAAATAGAAAAGAGCTCCAATTCTGATTGCATTCTTCAGATTATTAAACACCAAATTCTAATATGTTATGTACCACCAAGCAATGTCAATGAATACATTTGAAGCTACCAGACTTTTTTGTTTGATAAATATTACATTCTCTAAGTCCCAACAGAGAGAGTCCTGTGGGAGGGAACACTGCACTGTACCATACTGTGAGGTAGTGTAAGAGCGGTCAGAGCGGCAGAAGAACAAAACAAAGGCTCCAAAACTTGTAACAAAAAGGGTGGATTTATTTACAGTGCTCCCAAATACACATGTTCTTTCTCCAAGCCCAACATGTAGAGTGTCTCTCTTTTCTCCCAGAACAGCCAGCACACCTGGCATATATACATGGCCTAAATTGACTGGCTCCTCCCACTCGGCTGGAATATGCTTTTATATATACACTAATATACATCTGTAAACATAAACAAGAAGCAATTACTGCACAGACAGCAACACAGCCTGTACACAGTTACACAACAATGATGCAAATCAACATTAAACCCCTAAACCAGGTTAATTATCAAACCCCTCCTTTAAATGGGTGGAGCTAGACAGAGGTCTCGCTCCAAAGGGGTTAAAACCAGGAAATGCTCTGCGGCCCTCCCCTTTAATCTGATGCCGCATGGAGCAGGTAAGTTAGAAGCAGAAATGAATAAACATGTTTAAACCTTACTATAGTGTTTGGCGTTTTTAACAAAGTTAACTGCTGTAAAATGGAATGTATGTGAACGAGTGAGTATGGAACTGACAAACTTACACAAACAAGGCCCGGGATATGAGTGTATTTGACAGAACCTGTGTGTGCGTGGAACCAAGGGTGTATTAAGGGACAAGTGGAGTTGTAAGACTCACTTCGTCACACATACTCTAGTTATTTTTACAGTTAAAATGTTTGTAGTTTGAGAACAAGGAACCCCAGATTAAATTTTCCCCCAAATATTAGAAAATGCAGTCAAAATATCCAAATTGAATCCCCACGATGTTCAAAAGTAATTCTGTGTTAATAATAGCCGAGAGACCATGGGTTAGTTCACGGGTTTTAAAATTATGTTTAATCGTCATTGAAATTGACCATTGCCCAAGTGATTTAGAATTAAAACTAAATATTTTGAATGTGAAAATAGTCTTGTTGGATGAAGAAAGCCCTGAAAAGCCTGGAGACCTTTGGCGTACAGTATGTTAGTGCCAAAAGCTTTCCACACACCGATTAAAACGCTCTCAGTCTGTATTGGAAGGACAGTTTTGGTCTGTCGCTGTTTGCACTGAACTAATGGCCCGAGCGCGCTGTTGTCGAGCGTGTGAGGAGGCGATTCATATAAAGAGCCAGAGCCCAGAGCCACGGCAGCATCAGTTTGTGTGTGCGCTGCATCGGATACAGTGGAGTCACCAGGAGGCCAGCTCTGTCTGCGAGGCCTCTGTCAACACGCATCTTATCTCCCAGCTGTAATTTCTCCACCACTCACACTTCCCCCATGTCTCCTGCAATGCACTGTACAAGATCTTAGACTAATTACATTATAAGTCACTCAGTGTTTTAGTGTTTAGTCAGAGATGGTTGTTCTGATCTGTCGACAATTTGTATTTCTCAAGCTCAAATCATCGTCGTTTCAGAAGATTATGATTCAGAAAACTTTATTGATCCCAAAGGGCAATTCATTTGTTGCATAAACTCAAAGCAACGCACGCCAGCAGCAGCAGGTTACACAATATACTGTAAGTTAAACAACAATTAACAACACAATTCCCAAAAAGTCGACCACCTCGACCAGAGTTCAACAGTTTTATGACAGAGGGCACAAAAGAAATGGAAAAACGGTTTGTTTTTCGTGCTGGAGCATCAATACAAAGTCAGCGATCAGAGGATGTTTGGGCTGAGCCAGAATACACTTTGCTTTTTGTTCCTCCCACAGAAAGTGAAGGTTTGAGTTTTCCTCCAGTGATTTTGGAGCAAGTTCTCACAACACTCTGTGACCTGT